AACAAACCTAGGTGAACTAAAGAGGAATGACTCAATGAAAAATGTGCAGAGATAGAGAAAATGAGTAGCACAGATAAAGTAGATATGCATAAAAAATAATAAGAGAACTAACAAGACAAAAGATATGCTCATCAACAGGATGCATAAAATACAAGTATGGGACGTTGATATTAGAGAAAGAAAAATACTTCAGAGGTGGAAGAAATACTTTGGGGAACTCTTTCACAATGAAAGCGGTAATACACAGAAATTTTGAAGGACCAGAAATACTAAAATCTGAAGTGGTATCAGCAATGGCCAAAGTTGAACAGAAACAAAGTGTCATGACATGACAGAATTGTAATAGAGATGCTGGAAGCCTTAGAGGATCTCAGCATTGACAAGACTACAGACATAAGTGAAATATAAAACAGTGGTGATATACTGGAAGACCTAAGTAGATCTATTTTCATAGCACTACCTAAGAAGCCAGGTGTAAACAAATGTGAACACCATAGAACAATTAGCCTAATGAGCCATATAACAAAACTTATCATCCAAATTCTGATGAATAGAGCATGCAGTAGAATTAGACTGGAAATAGGACAAGAACAGTGTAAATATATCAAAGACACTGGAACAAGGAATGTTATATTTATGCTCAGAATTATATTAGAAAAAGCAATACAACTGCAGGTGTACCTGCGTTTTATAGATAATGTTAAAACATTTGATAAAGTATGTAATAAAAAAACTGTTGGAATTGCTCTTTAAACATGGCATATTTTGGGAAGGATATTAAAACAATCCAGAACTTATAGTGGCAACAAACTGTCTACATACCGAGAGGAAATGAATTCAGTAAATATACAAAAATAAAAAGGGGTGTCAGGTTTGGTTTGATTTTATGGCATAACAACCTCAATGGGTTATTTAATGCCAACAAGATTTTTATTGCTGGTAATAATTTTTTTTCAAAAATGTATTCCTGGTAATAATTTTCCTTCAAAAATTCATTGCTGGTAATATTTTTTACAAAGTATTTCTGGTATTAAAACCTATTTTTACACTTTCATATTGTCTTGACTCCAGTTTGGGGGTCTAACTATTTACCCATAGCTGGGACCCCTAACAGGTGCTACCACCCTGGGTCAGTGTAGACCTGGGAACACCAGTAACTAAGAGGGGGTTCCACACTCCTCAAAACCACTTGATCAAGAGGCCTTGCTATTGGACACAGTTTATCATCTTACCCAGGATGACAAGGGGTGTAAGACAAGGATGTTTCTTTTCAGTCAGTTAGTTATGTGCCATGCATGATACATGGACTGACGAGGCAGATTTTTTCCTGTAGTAGGTTGCCATTTCTTTCTATGGTAGACCATTTGCTATCCCAAGCTACAGAACCCGGTCTGTCCTGATATTTACCCATGGCTGGGGGTGGGGGAGAAGAGGTTTCATACCTTTCCTCATGAGGATTAGCATATAAGTGAATGTAATTGATTTGACCAGAATTTGAACTTGGCTTTCCAATTCCTCAATCCAAGGTGCTATCCATTACTTCTCACTGGACTTATTCAACTTATACAGTGAAGTGATTCTCAGAGAATTAATACCAGGAATCAGCATTGGCAACCAAACTTAACAATGCAAGCTATACAGTTTTGATAACAGATAAAGAAAGGAAACTACAGTAACTGAGAGTGGAGGAAAGCAAGAAGAAAGGAATAAGCATCAATTTCAAGAAGATGAAATGGATGGTTGTTAGCAAAAGAAACACACCACCATGCAAATTATAAATTGGAGATAACATGCAGGCGTTCTGAAAGCAAAAGAAATATTTGTCGCAGTTTACTTCCACAATGCAGAGATCAACTCACTGTAAGTTCAGACTTGAATATCGGGGACAGAAAGAAATGCCAAAAACTCGAAAAAAAAAAAAAAGACTCATTGTTTTTACATATTTTTTTTTTTTAATATTTGTATATAAGCCACTGTATTCAAATTTTCAGACCATATCATAAAAAAAAAAAAAAAAAAAAATATAGGTTACTAAATATGTTATTTTATAATGTATACAAGAATGCTACCAATTCTACTAACTTGCTTCCATTGAAATGTCTTTTTCTAATCATTTGATGGATGAATAAAAAACTGAAGCAATTATGCAAATTTTCACTGTGAACATTCAATGCTTTTATTAAGGTTATGCGTAGGTTGGTTGGGGTTTTGCTCTATATAGATGACTGATCTGGTTAACCATACAGTGAAAGATATTCAGACCTTAATGGACTGCTTTTATAGATCTCATAATATCTTTGGCTCAATCAACAGCATATTAGATATGGTTTTAGAAGCCAAGTTCATGTAAAAGGTTAAAAATAATTTATGGAATTTACTCTAACATTTCAAGATATTTCTGTGTAATTTTGGTAAATATATCTGTTAAAATGAGACATCAGTGTTATTTTAATTTTTGTGTAATTTAGACGACAATTTATGCATCACATGCTGTATGGGTACATTTAATTTGTTTACTATTTATTTGCTTAATTTATTATTTTATTTATCATTTAGTAATTTTTTCCCTTTTTGGTATGGATTATCTTATTTGTTGATTTAAAGTATTGACTGTTGCATAAGGTAATTTTGAACTTTGATTAAAAAAAAAAAAAAAAAAAATGGATTCAACCATGAGTTTTTAATTTTCCTTCCACATAAAACTAAAAAAACTTTACAAGATATTACTTACCAAATATCAGGCAAAATGGTGAACATAAACTAGAGTTATAACAGAAAATAACATGTATCTAATACTTATGTGTGTCACTATATTATATATATATATATATATATATATATATATATATATATATATATATATACACACACCCATACATACATACAACGCAAAACTCATATTTTATGTTTTTCGCATAGGAATTTTAAAAGGTATTTACAATTTTTTTTTTTTTATATTATAGAGTAATATGAAAAGTGTGTATATATATATATATATATATATATATATATATAGCCTTTAAATTCTTTGGGGAACATAGGCCCACAAGATATTGCAGTTTCTATAAAAAGCCAGTTTTTTTTTGTTTTTTTTTAACAACTGCACAACCTCCAACCTGGAGGATCAGGTTTTGAGTTCAGAGTTGTCCTTCTCCTCGACCAGTTGCCATCCAAGGCTATAGAACCCAGTCTGTAATGCTATTTACCCATAGCTGGTGGGGGAGAAGAAGAGGATTATACTATTTTCAAAGGGTATTAGCATGGAAGTAAATGTAATGGATTCAACTGGAATTTGAACACGGGTCTCCATTTCCTCAATCCAATCCACTCTCCATTACTCCACCTCCACTATGAAAAGCAAATACAAGCAGCAAATTAAAAAAAAAAAAAAAAATTGTTGAACGTTTTTCTTTTTCTGGCTTTTGTTTTAATCTTTGCAGAAAGATTCCAGAAATATTTAATGCATGTGGAGAAATTCTCAAGCAGAAGAACTTGACTTCTCTTTACCCTCACACTTAACCAAATAACAGCCCCACCTCTACAGCTAACAATTTCTCCTGTCCTCTAAATGCATCTTAACAGAATTTAAGAGAATATTTTTTTTTTCATTCCTATAAATCTATTTCGAATCAACAGTTTATTTTCATCAGAAATAAAAGTCACTCCAGTATTTAATTTTCCCATCATTTTCAGACTCGTATCCTAATCTTTTTTTTTTTTTTTTTTAACATTGCAATCACTGCCTTATTTGATCTTCAGATTTCTGTTTCCGTTACAACCAACAGTTTTATGTTCTGCCAAAGTATTGACAAGACTATTCACAGATAAAAACAAAGCCTTAACAAAATAGAAATCCAAGAAAGCTGCTCTCAGATTTACAAATTTAGGTAAACCTAAAAATATGAAGTTTCTTGCATATTCTGATGCTATACAAACCAGTCTGGAAAAAGGAATCATCCCAGAGTGGCATGATTATTTTTATTCAAAGTGAAAAGAATAAAATGGCACCGATCAGTTTGAAATCTAAAAGAGGGGAAAAGGTAACAAAAAGTTCATTGGCATTGGAGTCTTTAGCATTGACTGAAGCAGGAGACGCTAGATTTTTATCTGTCTATATCTCTGAGATGAGGCATTATAATTATTTACATTATTTGGACAGTTATCCTCACCTTCATTACCATATTCACAACATTTTGGTCATTGTATGCTCCGACCTTTTTCAGGTGATTGGAATTTCAAACTGAATCCTTTATTTAGTTCACCAGGGTAGATTGTTCTACTTTCACATACCATGCCTCTTCCAGATGTCTCCTTTATTTCTCTAACTCAATTCTCCAAGTTTTGATTCACCACTGCTGTGACCTGGCATTGAACATCTTCATCCACTTCTTCAGGTGATTGTCAAGGACGCATGACCCTGTGGTTAGATGGATAGGATGTTCCCTCAGAGAGGCCCCATACATTGAGCAAATACTGGGCCTAAAACTCACCTAGACTTCAAGTGGAACTTATATATTTGGTCCATCACTAAAGATGCAGAAAAAATAGTTGGTTCCGCATACTGTCCCAATAAGTACCTGACTCTTGCTGTCTTCTGCATTTACAAAAGTAAGATCAGGGCTAAAATGAAGTACTACTGTCATATTTGTGCAGGAGCTGCCCAGTCTTCACTTTCCAGTTTCATCAGAGTTCAAAAGCAATTCTGCATCCTTGTGGGTGATAAATTATTTTTTACTCTGCAACCACTCCCTCATAAATGAGATGTAGCAAGCCTTTCACTGCTTGATCAATATTTTCACACTGTAACAAACCACCCTCATTTGGTCTGTATCCCAGCTTCTTCCCATGAACCACTGTTCTGCAGAACCAACTCCTAAGAGAATGTATTCCCAATCACTACAATCTTGACCTGTTCAAGCCTAGGGTTAACTGTTATGTACCTTATACAGGGTGAACCTCACAAAAAAAAACAAAAAAAAACTGCAATGTTGATAACTTAGTTACTTCCATCTTGAAGAAAAAGAAGGATTACCTGGCCTTGAGGCAGTTAGACCTTGGAGAAAAAGAAGGATTAGTTGCTCATGAGGCAGATGGACCTTGGAGAGAAAAAGAGGAATTGCCTGACCTTGTGGCAGTTGGACCTTGGAGAGAAAAAGAGGAATTGCCTGACCTTGTGGCAGTTGGACCTTGGAGAGAAAAAGAGGAATTGCCTGACCTTGTGGCAGTTGGACCTTGGAGAGAAAAAGAGGAATTGCCTGACCTTGTGGCAGTTGGACCTTGGAGAGAAAAAGAGGAATTGCCTGACCTTGTGGCAGTTGGACCTTGGAGAGAAAAAGAGGAATTGCCTGACCTTGTGGCAGTTGGACCTTGGAGAGAAAAAGAGGAATTGCCTGACCTTGTGGCAGTTGGACCTTGGAGAATATGATGGCCAACATGTGCGAATGGATTCCTATGATGGAGCTGGACAAGCATTTCTGAATCATGTGAGAAAATTTGTTTTGTCATTAAGCTACAAAAGTTCATTTGAATTTGAAAATGATAACCATTTTTTTTTTTTTTTTTTTATTGTAGACATGTTGCATATTAGGTTGAGTCATAAATAATTCCTATTATCAGGAACCAGGTGTAATGGCAAATGCATCATCCTGACTTAATTATGCATGGCAGTTAAGAATAAATTTGAAGTACACTAATATACTTTAGTTTTTGTACAGTAATGGCAGCATACACTGTGGATTAAAGGAAAAAAATATTGTTCTCTTACATGACAATGCAAGGACACATTAAGAAAGAAAAACACGAGAAAAAAAATGTTTAAATTAAAGTTGGTCTATTGTACTCCACTTTTATTACCTTTTTTTGAATACTACAAATTGTTTTGATGTAGAAACAATTCTCTAATAAAAATGAGAATCAAGAATTTTTCAGACTTTTCCACATCAAAATTCTTCTTACACCCTTAACCTAGAAGAAGTTGTTGATAGTGCCAATGTGCTGATCAGTCCACCATTCTCCTCAGTCTGTCATGGTCATGTGACAGAGCCTGGGTATCCACAAATGGTTTCTTGATGTGTTCATGTGTTGTGTCTTGGGTGTTTTAACCTGGCGGAACCCATCCCTCTAAAGGTTAGACATCAAAATTATGAAATTTTAATCAAAATGAACTGAAGATCTGCCTGATCTTTTTTTTTTTTTTTTTTTTCAGCCTCAAACTTTGGGGTCATTTAAAGTGAAACATTTCTGAATTGTCTAAGAATTCTTTTTTGGATGGGGGGGGGGAGATGAACATTTTATTAACAATTTGGTAGACAAATGTAAATTATATATCAATGATTTTTCCAGGTACAGCTTGCATAAAAATAGATTTTAATTCTTTCCTTAAAAATAAATTACACAACTTTTGAAAGTATAAACCATACAGAAATAGATTGTAAACTTATATTCTAGAGGCCAATCTTTTTTATAAACTGTTCAGTATTTTCCAACGGTTCTACTGCTTGATAAGCGAGAATATATCATTGCAAATAATGGTGAATATATAACTGAATAAAATAATTATTATTCAAAAAATAAATTAAAGTTGATAAACAAAATGAAAATCATTTATGACTCACCCTAATAGTTCATCTCAAAGTTCATAACTCTACTAGGTCTTTTCTGCCATATATGGTCTGGAGCCCTTTCTGTTTGTCTCAAGGTTCTTGATAAAATCCAGAGACAGATATGCAATATAATTGGCCCTGATCTGGCATCTCATCTGCAGTCACTCTCTCACAGATGTGCCATCGCCTCCCTCTGTCTTTTTTACAAATACTTTCATGAGCTGCTTTCGCTGGTTCCCAGACTTCATGAATTTAAGCGTTCAACTAGGCTGGCATCTCGCTCTCACCCTTTCACTGTCGAAGCTGTTAAATGTAGCCATCTCTTCTACTCCAATAGCTTCGTGTCTCGCACTACTCACCTGTGGAGCTCCCTCCCCTTTTCCTGTTTCACTGATAGCTATAATCTCCAACTATTCAAATGTAATGTCAATTGACATCTCCAGATGCCCTGATCTATCCCCTATCCTTCTCTTCATCTTTTCCTCTATCACTCCTCTTTGCTCGTGCTCCAACTCTCTGTAACCCCTTGAATGCTAGTGGCTTCCCCAACAGAAATCAAACCTGTATCCTATACAGAACTGTCATATAGCCTGTAAACAAATGAATATTTTCTATAAAAAAAAAAAAAATGAACATAAAAATATCTGAAAATAATTGTCAGACATTGTCCATTTCATAATGTGTGACGTCATTTGTTTATATTTGATACACCATGAGCAGATATGAATGTAGTCTTGAGATATATATATCGTAAAATAAATACATAAAAATTCACCTTCCTCTTTGCCAGGAGCTGATAGTTTAGAGGAAAAATCTCCAACATGGCAAATCAGTTTGGTTTTGATCCTGGCTTGAGGCAATCGGATATCTAGCCACATTGATGAGTTGTGATACAGTGAAACAGTATATTATATATATAAGAAATGGACAAGGTCCGACAATTTATTTATTAAAGACATTTTTTATTATGTTTAACCTTGTTATTTATAGATACAAGTATAGATACATAAACAGAGCATTTGCTTAAATACTTGTATCTATAAATAACAACGTTAAACATAAAAATGTCTTTTCTATATATATATATATATATATATATATATATATATATATATATATAGCAGACTTAAGCTAGTTTCTGTGAAGGGCTAATTGGGACTCCAGCCTAAAAGTGAAAGTGACCTCTGGTCCAACTTAGAAAAGCACAATGATGGAACTTCAAAACTTCACTTTAACTGATTCCAGCTATAAGTCCAAAAGACAGACTTGGGCTGAAAACTGAGTTCTTCAAATCACAAACTCTGTGGAACTTCAGTAGAGTTCTTCAAAACCTCACATCATGGAACCTCTTATTTTAACACTGATTCCTTAGCACTTTGCAGAAATAAAAGTGATTTCCTCAATTCAAAGTTTTGGAGATATTCTAAACTGAATTTAAAACAAACATTTTTAGATTTAAATTCAAACTCAATATAAATTAAAAACTTAAAATCATTAATTTTTTTTTTGGTTATTTTAATATTTGAATTTTTAATTATTCCCTCCTCATCCGGACACAAATCCCAATGCTGGATGTTCAAGTAACAGATGAAGGGCAGATTTTCAGTCCCAGGATCATCCAGATTCCAAAAATGTAGCACAAGTGTGGCCTGAGTTAGAGGGGTTTCAGACACACACAGATACAGAAATTGCCATTTATTTATTTAAGATATATTCTTAGTTCTAAAACTTTATATTTACCGACAGAATAGCCTTGCTGTCTATTTTACTGGGATCAGTAAACTAGCCTATTCGAAAAAATATCCTACCTTAGTGGTGATGTCAGGTAAATAAAATCTATAAACAGCAACTTGTAAAATTATATCTAATAGAAAAAGAAATGTTAGCAAATTTTTCCTCTTTGATGAACTTGTCTAAACAGGTTTCAAAATTTCTATGGAGAACTCTATTGATAAATTGTAAGCAGAACCACACACTTGAACAAAGAGCCAAATTAGCATCTTGCATTGCAAAGCAAGAAAAAAAATTCTTTGGTATGAATTCCAGCACACAGAGACAATGATACAGGTGTATTTTATTAGTGTTTACTATGAGATTAGTTTGGTAGAAAAGCATCAAATAGGAGACACTCGAAGGTAGAACACTGCCCAGTTATAATGTCAACCAGACTAACCATTACATCATGCTGAAGAGATAATTGTTTTCTAAACTTAAGATAGATAAAGCTGGCTAATTTAATGATGAATTAACCCTTACCGAGTTATCTAATCTTGTTTTTCTTTTTCAGGAGGTAAACATTGGTCTTGTTTATAACCAAATCCATATAGGGATCCATAATTTAATTTTATGATATGAAGAGATCTATAATTTTATCAAAACTACAAATTCAAAATATTATTCCATTGTAGAGGCAGTTTTAATTCATGATGCCACTGCCTGGACAATTGTTGCAGATTTGAATCAAACCACAGAGAAATGTCTACAATATAAAAATAAAATTTTTATTTTTGTATTTTTACACCTAAAAACATGTTTCAGCATGTTCAAGTTTGTTTTAAAGTCCCTTGTTTGCAGTTGGTTGTTAAGATGAAAAGATTTCTCCATGTGTATGCATGAAAAATAGAGCCAAGGGAAAAAGTGAAGAGGAAAGTTTAAGTGTCATGTAGCTTGCTGAGGAAGATGGTGGGAGTCACTTAATTTGCCGAGGAAGACGCTGGGTGAACGTCACGTAGCTTGCTGAGGAAGATGGGGGGAGGGGAACGCCACGTAGCTTGCTGAGGAAGGCAGGTGAATAAGTAAGGGAATCTCTTTGAACCTGTGGTTTTGTGAATTTATCATTTCATGTCACTCCACCTCTTTACTGGTTTTTGTCTATCTAGAGACTTTACTTAAATACTCTTCAAATGATTATGAAGCATATTTTTTTTTTATTTATTGTTGTCAGGAGTGCAACCCATTGGTTGAATATTTATTTTCAAAGGCTTAATTTATTAACCAGAAAGATGTGTGGATCCTTTGACTAAGAAACCATATTTTTGTCATTTGATGATTGACTGTGTTGGTGTCTATTCCACATAAGTATTCTCTATACATAATGATTAGGCTTGTGCCGTAACACCTGTACAGTTAGTATAAAGACTGACTCCAATATGACTACCATCTTGACCCCATAACATGGAACTCTTTATAGTATTGGATGAGTTCACAGGATCAATGGCGGCATACTCTTTACTCAACAACATCCCCACTTCTGAGATTACTGCTATATTAAATAAATACATTTTATATTTCGTATTAGTATCTCCTCCTCCTCCTAGAGAGTTTGCAAACTGACTTTACTTTGTAATGTTTCCATCTTGGATTCACTTCTAGTTCATCTTCTGTTCATTGAACTTGTCAGTTCCATGATTTGTTTTGGTACCGGCACATCAAAAATGTCTTACAGCATTTTTAACTGGTTCTTCAAGTCATTCATCAGTTAATCTTTTCTTCAGCTGATTTTGGTGCTTTTTATGTTGGATTCCCCCCCCCTTTTCCCCATGTAGACCAATTTTCCAATTCTAGCTGCTATTGTGCCATCTTTCCTTTCCATCCTTGTATGCTATAAAGAATACTTTATCACTGACCTTTTATTAAGTATTTGTGATTTTTGACTTGACAATAACTTGTTGAATACAGATTTTACTTTCCTGGCAAACATTAATTCCGCCTGATGGTGTGTTGGGGTTAGGTGTTAACTGGTTCACTCTCAAAATTTTTGAAGTGTCGCCTTATTTAATTTTTCTAGACTTGCTTTTTTTCAACGCTCTTTTGAATGTTCCCACAAACCATTCCGCTTGTCCATTAGACCAAGGGTGATATGGTGAGGTCGTAATATATGT